ATGGGAGGTCTCCAGCACGAAGACCCGGGGCTGAAGGTTGATCTTATGCGCCGCGTACTGAACCGCGAAAGGCCACATAAAATGGGGAGCATCCGCATGGATCATGGACGTACGAGCGACGTCCATGACCATGCCAATACGGCACTCAGCAATCCCATTTTGCTGTGGAGAAGCCGGAAGCGTAAACGTCTGGCGGATACCTCGTGCACGACAGAAGGATCGCAGAAGGTCGGAGGAAAACTCTCCACCTCTGTCAGAGTGCAGACGCAGAACAGGAAAGTCCGAGCCGAAACTCTCTCTGAGCTGGAGACGGGCAGCGCGGATCCAGTCGATCAACATCGCAGTGACCTCACCCTTGCTTCGCAAGGGGAAGACTGTAGTGTAACGCGAGTACTCGTCAACCACCAACAGGAAGTAACGCTCGTGACCCTATCCACGGACACGGGTTGGGCCCCACACGTCCATGTGAAGCGTCTGCAGCGGAGCCTCTGTCGGAGGAAACTTGGAGGAGTGAGGAGCGGTGCGCTGCCTCCCCTCGATGCAGGGAACGCATGTAGGGGCAGGCCCCTGGGGAAGGGGAGGGAGGGACCGGGGGAGACCAGAGACAAGGACACGGGAGGCCATGCCTCGGAGACGAGGTAGGGAGGGGTGATTAAGGCGGTGGTGCCAGAGGAGAGTCTGGTGAGACAGGAGATGACACAAGCAGGGGGGCAGACTCAAGACATGACCTGGATGCTGCAGCAAACACCTGATCTGACGCAGCTACCTGACCAGACGCAGCAACCGGAGGAGACTCAGTAGTAAGTGTGTACACGCTCGACCCCGGATGACGGGTAAATGTTGCCAAGTGTCGGCCCGTCCGAGCACACGTGCAGTGGGTCACTCGCCGACTCGCAGGAGTGAACTGGTCAACCCCCCCATCCTGTAGGTCAGCACCACTCACCAAGTTTGTAGAGAACGAGAGGAGGTAAAGACCTAACAGGGAGCCAGAAGGGGCCGCCGGACACGGTAGGATAGTGGAGTAGTGAGCAAGGACAGGACCCCCAGAGGGGTCTGCCAGGGAGACTCCAACCGGCCGACTAAGCGGCGTGAGTGTGGTGCGGTCTCGAAAGAAGGAGCGGGAAGCACCCGAGTCAAGGGTGAAGGTGTGCGAGACCGCAGCACGCGCAGCACCAGAGAGAGCAGACTCACCAGCACCTAGAGCAGCAGCCTCACCAACACCTGGAGCGGGAGTCGCATGAGCACCTAGAGCAACAGCCTCACCGGCACCTGGAGCAGGAGACGCACCAGCACCTAGAGCAGTAGCCTGGATACCGGGGTCAGGCGGCACACACATGTAACAGGCACCCTCAGCACTAGTAGACAATGCATGCATGGCAGTGAGGATAGCATCATAGTCAAGAGCAAAGATATCTACCCTCTGCCTAAGCAGCTCCAGCCAGGAGGGGAGCTCAGCGGCGTCGCCAAACTCTGTACGCCAAGCGTCGCTCAGACGGGCGAAGCAGCGGGACTCTCTGTGACCAGGTGTCTCGCAAGGCTGACCAGTCCGGACACCCGTGCAAATGACGTACGGGCAGCGAGCAGTACTCAGTGACCCTCTACTCTAAGCGTACCTCTCACAAAGCCTCTGGGACGAAAGAGCCTCGCGGGGACGACGCTGCAGCTGCACCTGGCCACTACCAGAAGCTCCCAAACTACCCACTCCAGGACGACTCCCACTATGGCCACCAAGACAACCCCAATGAGCGTACCACTCACGAAGCTGGTGGGGCGTTAGGGTCGCACGTGGACGTCCTTGGAGCTGCATCTGGCCACGCCAGGAGCAGCAGTAGCAGCAGAAACAGCAGTAGGAGTAGTAGCAGCGGTAGCAGCAGCAGCAGCGGTAGCAGCAGTAACAGCAGTAGTAGCAGTAGCAGCAGTAGCAGCAGTAACAGCCGTAGCAGCAGTAGCAGCGGTAGTAGCGCGGGAAGTGCTCATCAGTGGTGGGAAGGGCAGGCACAAGACGGCGGCGACGGCGGGGCCGCTACAGCTGCAGGGCAGGGCCGCTACAGCAGTAGCAACAGTAGCACTAGCTGTAGCAGTGGCGGCTGCTCCAGGGGCCAGGGGCGGCTGCTGCAGGGGCGGCTGCTCCAGGGGCCAGAGGCGGCTGCTGCAGGGGCCAGAGGCGGCTGCTGCAGGGGCGGCTGCTCCAGGGGCCAGGGGCGGCTGCTGCAGTGGCGGCTGCTCTAGTGGCCAGGGGCGGTTGCTGCAGTGACGGCTGCTCTAGGGGCCAGGGGCGGCTGCTCCAGGGGCCAGGGGCGGCTGCTCCAGGGGCCAGGGGCGGCTGCTGCAGGGGCGGCTGCTGCAGGGGCGGCTGCTCCAGGGGCCAGAGGCGGCTGCTCCAGGGGCCAGAGGTGGCTGCTGCAGGGGCGGCTGCTCCAGGGGCCAGAGGCGGCTGCTGCAGTGGTGGCTGCTCCAGGGGCCAGGGGCGGCTGCTGCAGGGGCGGGTACTCCAGAGGCCAGGGGCGGCTGCTGTAGGGGCGGCTGCAGCAAGTAGCAGCAGCGGCACCAAGTAGAAGCAGCTGCAGCAAGTAGAAGCAGCGGTAGAGCAGCAGCACAGGCGCAGTGCAGCGTGCAAGCCTGGCGTGGGCTGTACTAGCCGCGCGCGGGCCTGACGTGGCCTTTACGGGCTGCGCGAATGCCTAGCGCGGTCTGTACGGGCCGCTCTCGGGCCTGACGTGGCCTGTACGCGCTGCGCTAGCGCCTAGCGCTGACTGTACAGGCCGCGCGCGGGCCTAACGTAGGCTATACGGGCCGCGCGCGGGCGTGGCGCGGGCTGTACGGGCGGCGCGAAGGCCAGACGGGGGCTGTACGGGCTGCTCGCGGGCTACGCGCAACACGACAGGGCAGGGCCACGGGGCAGCGAAAATCGATGCACCTAAGGGCGCATTTCAGGCAGAACAAAAGCAGAGAACGCGATTCGGACAGGAACACGGAAGGTTTAACGGTGGGCCCTAAAATAAAATCATCCTAGGCTAGGAACGTCCTAGCTCTTAATACCATGTGAGAATAGTATGAAGGTATGATGGAGATTGGGGCAAGGAGGGGGATACAAAGAAGTGTCGAGCAAAATTGTGTACCCCAAAGGGTAAACCCACTACAGCCTAGATAACATTAAACATATAATTTGACACGCGGGACGTTGGAGAAAATTGGAGAACCTTCGAAGGAGACCAGGTTCGTCGAAATGATGGTGGACAGCACGAAACTTCCCATCCACGGCGAAGCATCACTGCAGCTGCACATACGGGTGCTGAGGTGGAAGCCGACGTTGCCGATCACGAACATCAAGGGTTTAGATTTCATCTTGGGGTGAGATTTCTTGAAGCGGTTCAACCCCGAGATCGACTGGGTCAACCGAAAGGCGTGCATCTACAACAACGGGAAATGAGTGGAGCTACGAAGCTGGACGGATACAGGAGACGTTCCTGAAACCACACTGGCACACTTCGAACAGACGGTGAACGAGAGTAACACGGGTTACTTAACACTGGTGATGACAGCAGAAGAGGAGGAGAAGCCGAGCTCGGAGCTACCTGCAGCGGTAAAGGGAGTCTTGCAGCAGTACAAAGACATCATGCCAGACAACCTACCTGCAGGAGTACCTCCAGCACGCACCCACGAGCACGAGATCGTAGAGGAACTAGGTGCGAAACCTGTCTCACGTGCACCATACCGCCTTAGTCTGACTGAACTAACGTACACGAAGAATTATATAGAGTATCTACTGGACAAACAACTGATCCGCCCATCCACCTCTCCCTATGGTGCATCAGTTCTCTTTACTCCAAAACCAGACGACACATTACGGATGTGCATCGACTACCGCGCACTGAACAAATAGACAGTAAAGAACAATCATCCCATACAGTGCATAGATGACCTACTAGACCAACTGCGCGGTGCAAAAGTCTTTCGAAGCTGGACCTACGGTCGGGTTACTGGCAGATCAAGTTGGCAGACAACTCGGTCCACAAGACGGCGTTCCGTACCAGATACGGCTCCTACGAATACTTGGTGATGCCGTTCGGACTCTGCAATGCACCAGCGACGTTCCAGGCGGAGATGAATCACATCTTACGACCCCTAATGGACAAATGCATGGTGGTGTACCTGGACGACATTCTCATCTACTCCAAGAACAGAAAGGAGAACGTGTACCTGCGGTGCTGCTGCTCTCCGCCTCCGCTAACCCCCCCCTTCCATGTTTCCCTTTTCCTTTTCCACCTTCCCCCGCTTGCCTCCACTCTCTTCGCCCCACCCTAGGCCCGAGAGTGCTTCGCCTCAAGCCTCGACAAGTCCAAGCTCTCAGGCCGAATGCTCGTGTGCAACCTCAAGATAAGGGACGTGCGAGAGGTAATGAGAGACACCACCACAGCTGCTCTCGGCGCCGCTGGCGTGCTGCTGCTCTCTGCCTCCGCTTCCTCCGTGGCGCCGTCCCGCATACCCTATACAGACGTTCCCGCTATTTACTTGAACGCGGAGGATTGTGAGACTGTTCAACAGTACCTCAGCAAGGCAACCAAGTGAGTGGAGCAGCGTGTTGTGAAAACTCTCGAAGATTCTTTGATGGTGGTAATTTATTAATATCGCTATTATTATTATTTATATATTATCATTATGATTAATTCTATTTTCTCAAAGGCATCCTACAAGGTCCATGTCCCTCTCCCTCTCCCTCTCCCTCTCCCTCTCTCTGCCCCGCACACCTTTCGTCAACGCTGTCCCATCAACAGCCCGCTTCTCCATCGGCCTAGGGGCTTTCCTCCCTTACTTTCCGCGTGATAAAAGCTGGGTTGTGAGACGTCTCAAAACCCAGCATTTATCACTCGGCTATTCGTCCACAGTGTCCCATCAACAGCCCGCTTCTCCATCGACTTTTGAGACGTCCGAAAATACGCTGTCCCATGAAGAGCCTAGGACACCCTAGGCTTCTCCATCGGCCGTTCACCTCTCTGTCGATGGAGAGGCCGATGGAAAGTGAGAGGGAGAGACTTCCTTCTCTCATTTTCCGCTCACCTCTCTACCCCTCCCTCTCTTGCCCCTCCCAGCCCCACGACGTCCCTCTCGCCGCTCTTCACCGCGTTCCCATCTCAGGCGAAGCCCCCTCTGCGGCCATTTTCTCCTCCACCGGCCCGCCTCTCAACCCCTTCCCAGTGTCCCCTTCCTCTCCCGGCCCCATTTCCCATTACTCCCCCTACTTCCCAGTTTCCCAGCCCCACGGCGTCCCACATTCCGCCCTTCACCCCGCCTCTCAACCCCGCCTTCCGGCTCACTGGTCCCTTGCCTCTTGCCTCTCGCCTCTCATTTTCGGGCGGTTTTAGGCGGGAGGCGGGCCCGTGGCGGGGTCTCGCCTCTTACAATGCTAACCATCACCTTCCTCATTTTCCTTCTTCACTCTCCCCCCTCCTCTCCCCTCCCTTCCCCTCCCAGTCCCGCCGCCTCCCTCTCGCCGCCCTTCACCACGTTCTCAGACGAAGCCCCATCAATCGCCTACTTCTCCTCCACGGGCCCGCCCCTCAACCCCGCCTTCCCAATCACCCCGCCCCTGCTCGCCTCAAACGACATCTTTGTTGGGAATATAAACGCATGACTTAGTGCGTTTCTGTTGTATCGAGCCTCACCCGATACTGAAGCACAACAAAAGGGGTATGAAGTCGAAAAGGCGCGTACCACATCAAACCGCAACTGGAGGTTGCGAGCTGTAACCACCTGGAGGTTACGTAACAGCAACCGACGCTTCAGTGAACAGTAACCGCCTCGATAGTCGAAGCGTTACGCGTCTCGATAAACATAACCGCTTCCTGTAATCTATCTTTCCTATATATTCCTGTATGCTCTTTGCATTAATCAATTACTTGTTCTCACATACCAGCACAAGTACATTCACTCAAAAGACTTCCGCTGTGCTACTCTAGCACCTACTAGCCTATTCTCTGCAAAGATCCTAAGGCTGAAATCCTCAGCCCAACATGGTATGAGAGCAGTCAGAGAACAAAGGCTCTCGTCACTAAGCCTCTTCCAGGCTACCGATCTGCAAGCAACCAAGAAGTTCAATCTTCATTCAAGAAAGGCAAGACATGGCAAGCGGCAAAGAAAGAAGATCATCTACGGGATCTACTCTACCCCCGGTCTCCGAGTTGCAGACCGAAGGAGGAACAACGCCCGGATTAACGCCGGAAGCGACGGAACGTTCTACTCAAGCGCCAGTAGCGCCGCCAAAATCTTCAACCCAAGCTTAATGGAGGAGTTCTTCAACTTCATGTCGCAACAGCAGTCCTCGCAACCTGCAAACAGCAACAGCGTAAACAACGGAGCGGCACCAATGAGTATTGACAACTCATCGTTCGGACGACATAATCAACAAACACCAAATTCGGTCTCACCTGGTTCCTTCACGTTCATGCCGCCTCGCCATCCAGCGAACCCTCTTCCCACCATCAAACGAGACACCGAAGAAGTTCTGCAAGTACAAGCACAGTTCAACAACATCCTACGACTGCACACATCCACACCATTCAACGGGAAGGACTTCTACTCTTGGAGCTTCGAGTTTGAACTCCTAATGGAAGGCGCGAATCTTCTTGGATTCTTCAACGGTACCTGGCCATATCCACACAACGGCGAAGACAAGGACAAAGAAAATTATACGTATCACTCCCTAATGGCTTACACCGTTCTTCTCCGAAATCTGTCGCCGAACGAACAACAAAGCATCCGCGCCTACCGGAACTACGCAAACTCCGCGGAACTCGCCTATCAACATCTGCGAAGCATTCATCAAGCATCCGACAGCATTACACAAAGCCGACTCATGGCACAACTGACAACAGTTCAGATGCAATCTGGAGAAAAGGTCATGCCTTACATCAGTCGCTGTCAAGGACTACGCGACAGACTTATTCGCTGCGGAGGAAACTTATCTGAAGGAGCTTTCGTAACCGTCGTTCTTGCCGGCCTTGGACCTCAATGGCGCACCACCCGTTCACTTCTTCGCGCTCACGGTCGACTCTCCGAAATGCATCTCTGCGCCGAACTTTACGCCGAGCAGCAGGAAATGGACCTGTTCGAAGAACGCAACAACAAAAGGCATCGTCAACCAGTCGTTCTTTACACCAATCGACGACAGCCACGTTACCAAAATCGAGGACACGTACCTCCTTATTGTCATCTGTGTCGGACTTCAGGACACACACACGCTTCAACTGCCCTCAGCAACAACGACAACCAGCACCATTCTCTCGTCCTCTGCGACCCGCGCCTCCCCACACCGCGTCAACTCAACAACGACCCACTACCGCCTCAACGACTACTTCAACGCGACCGTCAACTTCCACTTCGGGACCTGCACAGACATCAAGAATCGTCGCCATGGCACGAACAACAGAGTCAAACATCGACTCGTGTATTACCGGCTCTCCACCGACTTACAGTCCTGATGAGCAGCCGTCACCACCACCGTCAACCCTTAACGTGAATCCAACGTACGCCGCCATCGCGAACAGTGCACCCACTGGACCAGACACATGGTTCCTCGACAGCTGTTGCGGTCATCACATGTGCTCTTCATCACGATTTCTTCAGCGCGAACGACGTCTTCCGCGAGACGTCATCATCACCATCGCCAACAACGAAAACCTGCGCACCAACAAACAAGGAGTTGTGGAGCTTCAGTCAAACGAAACAAACGTTATCCTCCAACTAAACAAAGTACTCGTTGTCGACAACCTCGGCTTCGACTTACTGAGCGTCAGCCAACTCATGTCGAAAGGCGTTCACCTGGAGTGCGACTCCGACGCCCTGGAAATCCGTCTTTACCACGGAAAAGGGGGGGTCTTCATCGGCCGCGCAATCCAACAAGATGACGTGTTCGTCCTCGATTTCGTCCCCGACAAAGGCACCGCAGACAGCGACGGCATAGTCGCTCTCGCACCTTGGACGCATCCGCCAGACCTCGACCCGAACTTCAGTCCTGAAGGCTTCTGGTACTCTCGTACCATTCCCGAAGCTGAACGCACCAACGCGCTTGCCGTCCTGCAAAAACAAGCAACAACACCTGAGTCAGCACCCGTCATCGAAACAACAACTGCACCCGTCACAGCACCAACAACCACCAAACCTGCAGTTGAAGAACCAACCGTCGTCACGGAACAACCTTCCGAAACTCCACAGCCCGGTCCCTCCGTCGCACCACCACCTCTCATCATCGACACGCCACCGACAGCCGCCCAACAGTTAACGCCAGCACCACGCGCCGTTCATCGAAGTGCAGCAACACACGCCGCCTTTTTCGCTAACGCAGACTTCTATCAACGCTCCGTCGGTCACAGCGCCTCCGAAGACATCTGGCATCAACGTCTTGGACATCCTGGAAACAAAACACTTTACAACACAATACGAGCCGGAGTGTCAGACAAAAACGCCCTACTTCTTCCCAACGGATGTGAACTCGAACGACCACGCGGCACCTGCTTCATCTGCCCGGAAGCAGATCTGCCTCACCAACCGTTCCCGTCACACCACAATCCGAGCGCCCCCGTCTATCAACCATTCGAGAAAGTCTACAGCGACATACTATACATACCTCGAACTGAAGGACGTGAAGATCTGAACTACGTCATCACCTTCATCGACGCCGCAACGCGATATGTCTGGCAGTCAACTTACCGTCACGAGACATGGCTCTAGAAGCCTTCACAGCCTGGCTACCTGTCGCTGAAAGAGAGTCGGGAGCGAAACTGAGGAGTTTTCAGTCAGATGGCGCAAAGGAGTACCAGTCAAACCACTTCACGCAGTTCTTGGCAGAAAGAGGCATCAAACGCCTCATCTCTCTTCCTTACGCTCACCAACAGCAGGGTGTGGCAGAAAGGATGAACAGGACCCTGCAGACAACCATGCGAAAGCTGCTACGTGGAACTCGACTGCCCAACTCAGAATGGCCAGCAGCGATGGACCACGCTGTCCTCCTGCACAACTTGCTGTCCTCGTCTTCACTGCCCAACAACGCATCTCCGCACCTGTTGTGGACTGGGAAGCTGGGCAACACAAAAATGCTACGAGTTTTTGGGTGTATGGTACAGTACCGCCCACACACTGCACGCGCAGGGAGATTCTCACAACGTGCACAATGGGGTCTACACCTCGGGCTGGCAAAACATTACGAAGCCTGGCGAATCTTCGACGTCCACACAAAGGAAACAGTAGCAGCACGTGACGTTATCTTCTACGAGCGACTCACCCTCAACCATTACCTGGACAACATCGCACGCCACGTCGACCCCACCGGCGGATTTTCTGGTTCCCGAGCCTTCGCTTCACCCTCCGACGCTGCTGACTGGGAAGAAGAAAACGTCGACGGCGCCTCCGAAGCTGCTGGACCCCTTCCCTATTGCTCCGTCCCAATCCCCATGGATGAGGAAAATCCTCGCGACAGCAACAATGCCGACGTCTACTACCATTTCGCCGACAATGGTTACGTAACACCCCAACCCGTCAACACCGACATCTCTGAACGATACGGCCCCGGCTTCGCACCTGATCCTGAAGCGGGAGACGAAGCAGTCTATCCCGAGAATCCCTTGCTAAACCGTCACACCCCCAGCGGACTCCAAGTCCTGGGACTCGTCGTTGCAGTGCACGGGCCTTCGTCGCCACCTGAAGAGCCTCGCTCTGTCAAGCAGGCTCTGGTGGGGGAACACAAAGAAAAATGGCGCGAAGCCATGGAAAAGGAGTTAAAAGCGCTTTCAGACCGCAACACCTGGAAGATCGTCCCTGCATCACTCGCACAAGACAGACCCATTCTCTCCGGAAAATGGGTATTCCGGATCAAAACCAACTCCGACGGAACCATCGAACGATTTAAAGCTCGATGGGTCGTCCGCGGATTCGACCAAGAGTATGGTCGCGACTTCACTGAAACTTTTGCACCAGTCAGTCGACATACTTCCGTGCGTATACTCCTCGCCATCGCCGCCTCACGTCGCCGCCCACTCCGACAAATCGACGTCGCCAACGCTTTTCTGTACGCCCCAGTCGACGCTGAAATCTTCGTCGAACAGCCCCACTGGTTCGTCGACGACCCTTCCCTCGTCTGCCAACTACTTAAATCACTATACGGAATTAAGCAGGCACCGCGACTCTGGCAGCAGTACCTGCACGCACGACTTAAACGCATCGGATTCAACCAACTGCCCCATGACCAGGGCATGTATCGCCTCACTCACGACAACGACTACGTCCTGCTAATCGTCTACGTCGACGATTTACTTTACATCGGGTCAACTACCACCATCGTCACCTGGTTTGAAAGGGAGCTTCAGACAGATCTCTCCCTCACAGTCTCACCCAATGTCACGCAGTACCTAGGGCTCAACATCCTCGACGAAGACAACGCCATTCGTCTCAGCGCCTCAAAATGCGCAAGCACTATCGCCGAACGCTTCTGCATCACACCGACGCACGTCGCAACACCCTACAGCCACCTATCGCTCGATCCAACCGAAGAAACCAACCCACTGCCGTCTGCTGGAATCCAGGAATATCAACAGAAACTGGGCTGCCTACTCTTTGCCGCCGTTACGTGCCGACCGGACTTATCCTACAGCGCCAGTCAACTAGCGACCTACCTCAAGCGCCCAGAACAACGTCACCTCAAGGAACTCAACCGTGCCCTTCTCTACTTCATCTCGACGCCAACAATTGGCTTAACGTATCACAAGAGCACGACGAGCGACCTAAAACTACTCGGCTATGTCGACGCTGATCATGCTGCTGATCGTGTCGATCGTCGCTCTCGCACCGGCTACATCTACCGTCTCGAGCCCGTCGGAACTATCTCCTGGCAATCAAGTAAGCAGGAACTCGTCGCACTATCATCTGCTGAAGCAGAGTATATTGCTCTCTGCACCGCTACCAAGGAAGGTCTGTACCTGCGCGAGCTGCTGGAAGAAGCGAAAATTGCGAAAGTACCCAGCTTCTCGCTTTTTTGCGACAACCAATCCGCGATACGGATCGCGAACAAGAATGGCTTTGCCAACAGAACCAAGCATATCGCACTGCGATACTTCTTCGTGAAAGACGAAATTGAGAAGGGAAAACTCCAGCTGGACTACTGCCCGACCACCGAGATGGCAGCAGATTATCTCACCAAGAAGCTAACAAAGGGGAAATTCGAGTACTGCATGCTGCTCACCGGATTGGGCCACGTCACCGAAGCTAACCACGTCGACACTCCAGAAAGGAAGGGGAGTGTTGGGAATATAAACGCATGACTTAGTGCGTTTCTGTAGTATCGAACCTCACCCGATACTGAAGCACAACAAAAGGGGTATGAAGTCGAAAAGGCGCGTACCACATCAAACCGCAACTGGAGGTTGCGAGCTGTAACCACCTGGAGGTTACGTAACAGCAAGCGACGCTTCAGTGAACAGTAACCGCCTCGATAGTCGAAGCGTTACGCGTCTCGATAAACATAACCGCTTCCTGTAATCTATCTTTCCTATATATTCCTGTATGCTCTTTGCATTAATCAATTACTTGTTCTCACATACCCGCACAAGTACATTCACTCAAAAGACTTCCGCTGTGCTACTCTAGCACCTACTAGCCTATTCTCTGCAAAGATCCTAAGGCTGAAATCCTCAGCCCAACAATCTTAAAGCCCGACATCATTGGCCCGGGGTTCGAGCTCTGGGCTGCTTCCAGTGGCCTCACACCCTCCTCTTCCTCTTAGCCGCCCAAATTCGCCTATCTTTTCGGGATCTCTATGGCCACACCGCATCTGGCCGGCATTGCCGCCCTGATCATGCAGAAGAATTCAAATTGGTCGCCCGCCCAAATCGCATATGCAATCATGACCACCGCCTACACCACCAACTGGCTTGGCAACCCCATCCGCCGAACCACCAGCTCCGGCAAGAAGAGCGCCGGGAAAACTGTCGAAGCTACCCCGTGGGATATGGGGTCGGGTCATATTGACCCCATGCAGGTATTGAACCCCATTCTTACTTTTCATGTGGGTTACAAGGATTATGTAATTTTTCTCGTTGGGCGGAGCTACTAGTGAACAACCTCTCTTCTGTTGGCCAAGTTTCCCCTCTCGACACGCTTGTTAACCCCCTTCCTAGCACCTAAGGTTTCCATGCCTCCTAGGTTCTAGAACTGTTTTAACAGTGAAGAATGTAGATGAAGTGCCAGAGACATATAAGGCGAGTGGAGTAGAAATAGGCGTCAATCCAATTACCGTAGCTTCAATATCAATCCCGGGCAGACACAGTTTTCGGTGCGGTTTCGGCCCAAGAGAAAGCCGGGCAGGGTGTTTAAGTTTGGAAGCCTGGTGTGGCGCAGTAATCAGTCGCATATTGTGCGGATGGTTATTGCCATTAGAACCATACCCGCGACTCAGTTTCTTAGCTAGGTGTTAGTCTCTTTACCTTGTTTCTCAAGGCCTTGTTGATTACATATTTTATCATTAAGCCATCAAGGAAAGACTGCACATTGCACAATCAACGGCTAGGATTTACAACGAATGGATCCAACATGGACCGTGGAGCACATATGCTTTCTCTTCCCATGGCGTCAAGACTCGTGGGCAGTGGAGCGAGAGGGTATCTAGTCTCTTGGTGTTTAGAAAGCGCAGGCAAAAACAGAGGCGAGGACCAGCAGAGTCGAGTTTTGAGTCGACTCGACTCAAAACTTGGCGTCTAGAGGGCACTGGCAAAAACAGAGGCGAGGACCAGCAGAGCAGTGAAGAGACGCGAGACAGTAGCAGCGGCAGCTGTCATGGAAGAGAAAGGGGAACGAGAGTGAGGGGTTGAGAGATGGGAATGAAAGGGAGATGGGTTTTTTGACTCGACTCAAAACTTGGCGTCTAGAGAGCACAGGCAAGAGCAGAGGCGAAGACCAGCAGAGCAGTGAAGAGACGCGAGACAGAGGCAACGGCACCTGACATGGAAGGGAAATGGGAACAAGGAGAGGAATGCATAGTGGAGAGGTGGTCACTGAATGTGTGGCTATGCAATGCAGTGAAGAGATGCAAGACAGTGACAAACGGCACCTGGCAATCGGAAACAAGGGGTGAAGAAATGGGAGTGAGGGGGAGGGGGAATGGAGTGAGGGGGAGGAAGGGAGGGAGGAATAGGAGAGAGGAAGAGGAGGAATGGGAGAGAGGAAGAGGAGGAATGGGAGAGAGGAAGAGGACTGGGAGAGAGGAGGAATGGGAGAGAGGAGGAATGGGAGAGAGGAGGAGGAATGGGAGAGAGGAGGAATGGGAGTGACGGGGAGGAGGAATGAGAGTGAGGGGGAGGATGAATGGGAGTGAGGGGGAGGAGAAACGGGAGTGAGGGGGACGAGAAACGGGAGTGAGGGGGACAAGAAACGGGAGTGAAGGTGAGGAGAAAGGTGAGAAATGAGAGAAACAAAAAATAAGAACCTGAGGGCATGTAGATAAGTGGCTGCATGCATGATCGAATGTGTGGCACGGTGCTTGATGCAGGGAAGGATAAGCCCATTGTCAAAATTTGCGGGAGATAATCTATATCTCTTCACATAATAATGCAAGTCTTCTCATTTCTAGCGATTTATTAAAACGCGTACCAGGCAGGGAGGAGATGTTGCTGGGGAAGACAACCGCGTTGACGTAGAAATAATCCTTCTGCGGCTCGTCGATCATTGCCACAGCAGACGGAGTACCAGCAGTTGCGCCAGATGCAAGGGGGTCCGAACCGGAGATGAAACCAGTGTCGGTGCTGTTGCACTTGAAGTTCAGGTTGTTGCTGTTGAACGCGGTCTTGAAAGACGTGCCTGTGGCGGTACACTGTACGTGAAGGGTCGGGGTGTAAGAAACAGACGAAAAAGGAAGGTTTAAGAAGCAGATGGAACGACAACGAGAGCATATGGGAATCGAGCGGGAGAAAAACAACACACCATCAGATACACATACTAACATCTACAATCACGTTCCGAAATTTCTTCTCACCAACGTACCGATGGTGGTTCACCAGCCTACCTGGCTATCCAGATTCAAGATCGTAACCCGAGAAGCCGCCGTGTGGAACGACATCAGGTTGTAGAGCGCGGTCCGCGCGGCCTCCCCGATCGGATGCGTCGTGAGCGTTTTGCACGATTTCGCCTTATCAGCGAGACGCGACAGCTCAGTGCTGTTTATCATGGTCTTACTCCCCGCCCAGACAATCGCGTTCTTGATCCGATCGCTCGCGACCGCGTCGAGCGCTTCGTACAGCGCGCCGCTGCTGCGGCTCTTCTTGTACCCCTCGAGCGCGTCGCTCCACGCCTGATTCGTCGGCAGGAAAATCGTCGGCCCGGCCGGGAACTTGCACACCGAGTTCGCGAGGTAGTTAAGAATGTAAAACGACTTGGACACGTCCGCGAATTTAATCGTGTACGGAACCTTCATTCGCAGAGATCGCGGCGGAGAAGGCGGCGCTCCGGGCGCAGCCTGAGGCGACGCGGCTGCAATCACTTGCTCCAGAGTGTAGTCCTGCATGTAGTCGTCGTCGTAATACTGGTCGACCGGCGCCGGTGGCGGCGGTGGCGCGCCGACCGCGGGTGCCCCGGCCCCCGCCGGCGCGGGCGCCGCTACGGGCGCGGCGGCTTTCAGAACCCGACGGCTCGCATCTGCCATTTGAGTCGAATCCGCGAGCGTCGGCACGGCGGCGGCGGTGGCGAGGAGCAGGAGCGCGGCGGCGGAAGCCACGAGGGACACGAAGCGGCGAGTCGGCGTCGCAACGGCCTGAGCGGCGGCGCCGATTCCGTTGGTACGAGCCATCAGCAGAAGATGAATACCGCCGCGCGATAAATTCCCGCGAAAACGACGGGCCGCCGGGTGGCTCTCGCGACACGTGAGACCTCGCAGGGAGGACCTTTGCGGGCCGGGCAGAGAACACACCCTCACAGCAGCCCGCGACAGATGCATGGAGCGCGGGAACGACGGGCCGGGTGGCTCTCACGTCACCTCGCGGGGAGGTCCTTGCGGGCCGGGCACAGAACACACCCCCGCCGCAGTCCGGCTGTTGCTCTGCTGCAGATTCTGGGAGCTTGGGACGTGGAATCCGATGAAATTGATGGTTGGGGCATGGATTGCGTTCGAATGGGGGTTAAGTAGTGGTGGGTAGTCGAGGCAGGATGATGAAGCTATGGCTGCGACTGGTGCCTTCCGTCCCCTAAGCGCGCCTCTGCTTTCCGCGCGCCCGCTCGGCCTTCCGCGCGTCTACATGGCTTTCCGGGCGCCTACGTGGCCTTCCGCGCGCCTACGTGGCCTTGCGCGTGCTTATGTGGCGTTATCCACCAGCCATCAGTGCCTTCCCTCGCATGCGCCGCCTAAATGCTGATCCTCGTCCTCAGGCAACAGTAGGCGCACTGAGTCGAATCAAGAGACAGCTGCGCCCACACTACGCAGCCCAAGTCGCAGAGTACGGAGTGGAGATAGGGTGGGATATCTTATCCGTTTTTAGTCAACTGAACCCAAACCAAACACAGGTTTGGCGGCGATGCACAGTACACGTGCTGTTCAGAACTATGGAAGCAAGCCCGGCTGGCCAAGAGCCACTGAAAGTTTGTACAGTAGTCGCCCCTAAGATCCGGTTCTGAAGTCTGGACACCATCTGAAGTGTGGACACTTTGGTAGCAATGAACACATCTGATTGGCTGCCACGCTCCAAGATTTTTCACAACTTGTGTAATGACCAATGATCGGGTGTGTTTACACGTCACTGAGGGAAAATTTTGGCTGATGGTATCCAAGCTTCGCCCAGAACCGTGACCTAAACCATGATTTGTGCCTCTGACTGACACGTGAGTATCTCTACAGGATACGTGAGCCTTTCTGAACATTTACAGAACAGAAACTAAATATCATGGGACGGTAAGGAAAATTCCCTTTCCTTACTTCGCGTCCTCGTTCAGCGCGTACACCACTGTAGCACCACAGTCAGCACCGTTACCACTCGCAACCCTCGCATCGACAATCCTCCCGCCACCTTCGCACGTCGCACCCCGACCTCACGGCTCGGCGGGTAACCCGCGCTCTGGGCCTCCGCTTCGACATTTCCCCAAACCTCAGTCCCAGGCCCGTCGCACGACAACCACTGTTCATTACCGTTACCACTGTAGTTTCGCTATATATTCTTCGCTCATGCCTTCGCTCGTTGTACGCTTGCTTCGATAGTGCAATCCTCGCTCGCTCACTCAATTGCACTCGTAACACTTGGTATCAGAGCCTACGATCTCTTCTCGGACCGCACCCACACCTTCGCATCCTCACTGTTGCGATCAGAAGTTGATCGTAACCCAGGATCTGCTCTGGTAGGTTCGCACACAGTGGGTAGTGTTGGTGGGCCCGTGACCTCAATAGCAGAGTGAATATAAAATGCTTGAGATAATAAGACCATGCAAATACAGCGATATATATATATATATATGAGTACAAGGGAATTCGAAACGACCTAACTAGCCATGTACTCTAAGGGGTACATTCCCTTATTCACGTGCATCCCAACCGTTCGGCGCGTACCGTTTTGAAACTGTTCCCGCCAAAACCATCCTTCTTGCAGTTGCTCGATACCGTTTGCTTTCGACGGTTCAGATGTGCTGTAACCGACCGACTCTTTGACTCGATTCCAACTGTCTGACGCTTCGCGTTCGTTCCCGATATTGCGCGTGCTTCGCTACGGTGAGGAGTGCTTAGTAATATCAAGTATTACTATTCGTAACACCCCCCTTCACTCCTGGACGTAGCTTAGCTTGACCTGCCTGACCACGCCGCTGAGTTCGGAGCAGTGCTGATACTGCTGGCGTGGCAGTCGCTTCGTGAGGAAATCTGATGCCATGTCACCTGTTGGGCAGTAGGTCAAGTTGACCTTGCCTTTGTCTATTTCGTCCTTCACGAAGAAGTACCTCAGCGCAATGTGCTTGGTGCGGTTAACGAAGCCAGGTTTGTTCGCGATGCGAATCGCACTCTGGTTGTCGCAGTGGAGACGAAATGTCGGCGAGGCAGGAGTTTTTGCCTCTTGCAGGATTTCCTGCAGATAGAGGCCTTCGCGAACTGCTGCTGTTGCTGCGATGAATTCCGCTTTTGCTGATGACAGGGCAACCAACTCCTGCTTCTGCGAGTTCCAGGAGATTGGTCCCGTAGGCTCGAGTCGGAATAGGAACCCGGTCCTGGACCGTCGATTATCGGGATCTGCTGCGTGATCGGCATCCACATAGCCGGTGAGATTGAAGGATGGGGTTGGTGCAGTGGAGTAGCGTAGCCCAATCTTAGGCGTTGAGACGAAATATTGGAGGGCGCGCTGTAGGTCCAGAAGATTTTCAGCCGTTGGTTTGCGTGAGTATTGCGCTAGCTGACTTGCAATGTAGGAGAGGTCTGGCCTGCAGGTGACAGAGGCGAAGAGGAGGCATCCCAACTGCTGCTGATAAGTTTGAATCCCAGCGGGGGGTAGGGCTTTGGCGTCGGGTTTGTGGTTCGGTCCGGGGTTTCGGTAGGGAGTTGAGAGGGGTGAAGGTGAAATGTTGAACTGCTTCCCTAACTCCTCTGCGTACTTAGCCGCTGAGAGGTGAATGGCTTCGGGCGCGTAGGTGATGTTGAGGCCTAGGAACTGCTTCACCTCGTAGTTGCATGTGATGTCGACGCGTCCCGCCAGAGCCTTTTCGAACTGCTGGAGGAGTTCGTTGTTTGAGCCCGTGTAAAGCAGGTCGTCGACGTACACAGTGAGGAGGATGTATTCGCCGCGAAAGTCACGGCGATACATCCCTGGATCGTGCGGCATTTGCTTGAACCCGATTTCAAGCAGGATGTTGTGCAGGTACTGCTGCCACAGCCTTGGGGCCTGCTTGATCCCGTAGAGCGATTTACGCAGCTGACATACGCACGAGTCTCCTTCCCCGTAGGTGTGTGGCTGCTCCACGTAAATCACGGCGTCTACTAACGCGTATAGGAACGCGTTCTTCACGTCGATGTGTCGGAGTGGCAGGTGCCTTGCAGCTGCGATGGCGAGCAGAATGCGGACGGAGGTGTGGCGGCTGACTGGGGCGAATGTTTGGTCGAAGTCGATCCCATGCCTCTGGTCATAGCCGCGAACCACCCATCGCGCCTTGAAGCGCTCGATTGTCCCATCTGCTGCGGTTTTCACGCGGAAGACCCATTTCCCTGAGAGAACTCTTGCGCCTTTGATTGCTGCGCGGTCGACGAGCACCCAGGTATCGCGTGATTCTAGCGCCTTAATTTCCATGTCCATCGCCTCGCGCCATTCCCTGCTGTGTGGTCCAGAGAGTGCTTCGCGCGGGTTTCGGGGCTCGACAATGCGTGGTGCCTGTGAGGTTGCGGTGTGAAGTCCGAGCAGCTGCAGCCCTGAGATGGTGCTGTCGTGGCGACGTTGCGGGATGACTTCATGCACATCGTCATCGTCGTTCTCCGGTTCAGGTGTTGGCGGTGTTGGGCCTCCGTTACTTCCGCCTGTTCCGCCTGTTCCGCCTCCGCCTGCTCCCCCTGTTCCTCTTCCTGAGGAATCATTGTCGTCGTCGTCGTCGCTGCGCCGGTTCTCCCATGCGGAGTCCCCCCTTGTGTCCTGCTCCAGGATTGCTGCAGCGGCTTCGTCTTCGGGTGTTGCGTAACTGTGACCGTCGTTGGCGTAGACTCGATTGGCATTCGTCCGCTCGTCGTGGCGGAACTGGTCGAGGAAGAGGCGCTCGTAGAAGATGACGTCGCGAGCGTGGGTTGTTTTCTGGCTGAGGAGGTCCAGCACGATCCACGCGTTGTGCTCGTGACTGATGCCGAGGTGGATTCCCCAGCGTGCACGGCTGGCGAACTTGCCAATGGTTGAGGTCGGCGGGCGGTATTGAACCATGCACCCCCATACTCGGAGCATGGAGGTGTCTCCCTTAGTTCCGCTCCATTTGACGTGCGGGGATAGGTTGCCGGTGATTGCGGTGGTTGAAAGTAGGTTGTGCACCCGTACGGCGTGGTGCATCGCGTAGGTCTGTCAGAACATTATAGCTTACTTATTTGTGTAGGCTATAGTGGGGTATCCCATAGGGGGTACAACCCAATTAGGGTTTCCTATTTGTACTCACTTCGTTCATAGTCATTTCATTCTCGTTCTTTGCTTTCACATGGAATCAGAGCAGGTTCCCTCCTAGGGACTGCTTCTAGGGCCCACCGAACCGCGCCCCGAGGCGCGTTTTTTTTTTTTTTTTTTTAGCGACCCGTCGTGTCGCCCCTAGCGGACCGTTGCGCCGCCCTTCCCCTCGCGGCTCCGCCGCCCTTCCCTAGCGGCCCCGCCGGGCGCTGGAGGCGTGCTGCTGGTGCAGAGGGTACTGCTGCTGCGCGCCCCGCCGGCGCTCGTACTGTGGGTGCTGGAGCTGCTGAGTCTGAGAGTTCTCCTGGAGCTGGTCCTGCTG